TTAGAACCTTTTTCAGAAACATTGTTATATTAATTTTTTAAAAAAGGTGTTTTTTTTTTTTTCCCCTCAGCTGATCTTTTAGGAATATTCATCGTGAACTGTTACTGCCAATTTTTCATTTTTAGTCTTTTCCCCCTCCAAATTCCTGCAGTGTTAATGGTTGTGGCTTTAAGCAAGATGGAGCCACAATGAATTAAACTGTAGGAAATCACTGCCACATGTTTAAAACCCAAATCCCTCCTTTTCTGAATCGCACAACTGCTGAGGAGCTGCTAGGAAACCAGCTCCCCAGGAGACTCACCTTTACATATTTTGCCACAATGTATTTAGGATTGGTTTTCTCTGAAATGGTTCAGCACCTAAAGACTACAGGAAAGCAGTCAACAATGCTGAATTTGCTGGATTAATTAAAAGATTAAATGAGCACACTTGTGTATTTGAGGTTTTTGCATAAAGAAATACCGATGCTGGAGTAAATTAAAGTGCACTTTAAAACAGAAGTTACATAAGCAACCACCACTTGTCAAAAGGTGCACAACATTCAGTTTCAGCTGTTATTTAATGTTTTTCCTTCTAATGACAATATCCTGAGGATGGTGGTAGGGAGTCAAAACGACCTGTCAAGCAAAATCATGTAGCTTACCTATTTTCCTATATGAGAGAGATTCTTCAAATACCCTCCTAGTAGGAAAGCCACAGAAGCATTTCAGATTTTCACTAGAAATAATTAGAGGCTTGAACTACATTTTTGTACTTAAAAACTAGGTTCTAACAAGATATGCTGCTGTGGTCCCTTCTAACTATGACAGATTCTGATTCTGTTTTAGCAGAGGACTTTGTAGTGTTAGCTCGATGGATGGACTTGATGATCTTAAAGGTCTCTTCCAACCTAAAGGATTTTTTGAATCTATGATTCATGTTCCTACAGCCTGACATCAATAGGAAATGGTATTTTCCTAACAGTCATGCACCCAAGAAGCAGCTCCTAATTCAAAACAAAACTGTAAAGAGCTTTAAGATATTTGTCTCATTAACTCATTAAGCCCATCACATATGTTTGTCTACTATAAGAGTTTTCACTTTTTAAAATTTTTTTTTTAACCCCTAGCTTCTGGTGTTGGCCAAAGTTGAGGTACCTCAAAGGCAGACAACTGCTCTGATCCAGCATGGCAAGTTCTACTTTTCCACATAAAGAGTTACTTAAATTCACCCCAAATAACCTTTCAGACTGAGATGGACAGCAAGAGTCTGTAAACAAGAATAAATTTATTTTAGATTCTTTAAAGATTTAATGATATACAAAATGTATACAGTATTATATCCTTATAACATTTTACCTTTCCCCATCAAACATAAAACACCATTTAAACAGCTATTGTGTTCGTGCCTTAGGTCTGTATCTATAAGATACACTACTGAATAAAAAAATTTATAGAGCTATATACTGCCCTTTGAATTGAAAATTACAAATTAGTACCTACGTAACAAAAAAAAACCACGCAGCATGAAACTTCAGTTGGACAACAGGTTTTTTCTTGCTGAATGCTCAACAATATTTGGGACAGTTAAATTACATTTTATTGGCATGAAGGTGCATTGCAATCTCCCGTACTTTACATAATGCTAATCCAACCCTAGCCTCTCTTAAATAAGTACCACAAATAACATAACATTAAAGATGTTTTCTACACAATTTTAAATACATTAAAAAGTTATGTGTACATTCGGTTCTGATATACTGGTTTTACAAGATCTTTGGAAGGCATAAATTCTGAAGCAGTCTCTACGTACACGGAAAAGCACTTCCAACTTGTGTTCTTACAAGGCAACTCATTTGGACCAGTACATACTATTTCTTCTATTAAATATGATTATACCAGTCTATCATGGCTTTTGTTACTATTTGATGATGACTTGATAAAACTGAAATGTATAAAACAAGAAATTTCATTATGCACAATTAGGGCTCTAGTAAAAACAAAATAAACCCCCCACAAAAATACCCCAACAGCTTTACAGCCACGAAGCTGAATGCTGATTCAAGGCTCTCACTCTCTACTGGAACAGATCAAGTTCCTACCTTCAACCTCAGACTACTGGAATCACATGCATACCTCATTTGGCTCTGTCCTCTTCAAAAGGCCAGATTAAAAGACATCTGGTGAGAAAACAATAGTGAAACGCTTCCAAAAACACTCAAAGAATACTCTGGCATTACAGAGGTAGGTGCTTTCTCCTGTCTTTTGCTGACTGACAGCAAGACAGCTGCCAAACAGACAAATGCTTTACCTTAAACCATCAACTGCCAAAATCCTTTTGGTTGAAGGCGTATTGCACACCACAGGACTACAAGAGAGAAAATCCTCCACTAAACCAAAATAAAATAAAAAACGAACCTCCTGCTAAAAAGGCCCCTTTAAAAACATATCTTAAATACTTATTATTCCACCTTCAAAATGATCAGCTGCCAAGCTGTTCTCTGCAGATGGTTATCACAAGTTGTTAGGTCCCTACGTTATGGACCAGTCAAAATTCCACTTATAAGACAACAATCCTTGACATATCTTTCTTTTAATTATAGTGAAGGAAACGTAAGCGACAACTTTGTGACATCCCACGAAGTTTGGATCAAGCCACTGATTTGGTCACATTGTTAGAGCATCAGACGAATAGAATTAGCTGAATCAGATTCTTTGGTGCAGCTTCCAGGCTGAATTGTCAATTCAGGGGAATCATCCTGAGGAAATATGATCTTGTCAGGCGTGTAATCGTTCCTCTTCAGATCTGTACAAACAGAACAGTCACATACCAATTACTATTTCTTGAGCTAGTAAAATCAATGGGGCACATAAAAGTCTTTCAAAGAATTGGGTGCACGGATGTATTTATAAAGAATCGCTTCATATGCACTGTGTCAAAAAAGGATGTTTTTCTCATACGTACTGTTAGAAGCCTACAGCTCTACTTTTAAAAGTGATGGAAGCCTCACAATTACTTATACATACTATAGCAAATATTGAGTCAACTTTCCATGGAAATCAGATCCTTCCATACCAGTATTTAGAACTCAAATTTAAAATAAATGACCTCTCTTCATGTGAGAAATAATCTGAAAGAGAAGTGTGAAGCAGGGAGAAAAAAAGCAAGGAGGAAAAATGCAGGTTTCTTATGTTGTTCTGCTGGAGTCTAAAAGCCTGATACAGAGAAACAAATTTCAAGGTTTCTGCTGACTACAGCGTAGCCCATGCAGAAGAAAGTATTTGGAATTGTAAGTTTTTAATGGACTGAATTTCTACAGACCTAGGCACATTTTAAAATGCTAACAAAACCAAATAACAAAAAACAGACACCACAAATAATAAGAAAACCTCCTCAATACAGACAAAACCAAAAAAAACCAGAACCGCCTAAAACAAACATAAGCACCATTTTGCCTAAAAAGCCTGACACTTTGCAATCTTCTTGACCTGCTGCTTTTCTTACTTTTCCTAGGAACCTTTACAATTTTTTTTTACTGTACCTTCTTACCTCTTGATCAATCTAATCTACCTTCCTCAAGCACTGCTTATGGATATAAAACACACTGACATTCTTAATCACTTCATCTGGGATTTTATCTTAACACCACGATTTAAAAGTAGAATTACAAAAATGCTTTTTACTACTCATTTCACTTCCACAGCATGACATATTTCACTGCGTACCATGTAACATTTCATGACGTGAATGTCTTAGAGGAAGAAATACAGCAATTCTTACCAGGAAGTTTAAGC